TGTCGGCTATTGCGGCTATATGCACATATATCTCAAATCTTTTGGGGCAGTCGATGGTGGATGGCGACCACTGGGCAGACTACTCATGCAATTTGGCACGCCGTCTGTGGGTAAAAGTCAACAAGCGATCTGCTGCCACTTTCAATTGCCGGTGCGGCGATCCAAGTCGCCAGTTCAGATCAGTCATGTTGCAAGTGCAACTGCCTTTTGTTTTTGTTATTGTTTTTGTTTTTGTTCGCTCGTTACCGGCACACTCCAAGCGGTATAACGTTCAATGATCTATGCCAAGATTGCGCAATAATAATTGTGCTGGAACAGTGGGTCAATTTAGGTATATTGTAATAAAAAAATCTAAAATAAAATCTTAAAATCTTATAGATTTCGATTTTAAAAGTTTAAATGAATAGGGATAAAACGGGTATTTTATGAAACTGTAGATAATAAAAATAAAACTGTAGATAATCATTAAATTAGGGCAATAAAAAAGTATTTAAATTTCTAACAGTTAAATAATGGTAAATAAAGATTTTAAAATTAAACTAATTGATCACAAAGGCCACCGTTGCTATAAACTAAAATATTTAAGGCAGAAATGTAATATAAGCCCAAAACACACCCAAAAACATTGCCAAAACGTGTTAGAAAGGGGCTTGCCGCGATGGCCTTACTAAGTTCAGATGACAATACCCATTTACGTGAGTAAAATAGATTTATGGCCCTTTAGCAAGGTTTTGCAGCAAGAAATCAATCAGGTCAGCGATAAATTAAATATAAAAATATTTTAATATATTAAATTGCTTTAGACAAGATTAAAATCTAAGCAAAAGTTATTTCCGTTTCTCAAGTACTGGAAGAACTTTCAAAATCTACTTAGATTGATCAAAGAAAATCCGGCACGAACCACAAACAAGCGGCGAGGTCAAAACTCTCAAAGAAAACGTGCAAAAATAATTTAGCATTTAATTACAAACAATTTATGGAAGAGGCTACTGCGGTTGAGCTTTTAATCTTTGCATGCATAATGTGAGGAAGACAAAGAATCTTTTTGAAACTATTTCCATTCTATAGAAACATTTTACACTTTATAATGGCATCGTTTATAAGGAAGCCATTGGTCATTGGATAAATGCAGATAGATAGATATTATTGGCCCACTTCCATCAATCACTTGGTGCCCACGGTGCTCGAGTCTCGTGCAATGGGGCATTTAGGCGTCGACGTTGGCTTTCAACGGACCGCAAGACGCAAACTTGGCCAGTTGCAGTTGCCGTCTTGGCCAACAGTTGTTGCCGCCGCTGGCTCAGTGACTTTGCTGCAGTGGTAATGGAAACCTGCAGCGCTTGGCTGGCCAGCGTAATATTTTGTAGGTCACCGAAAACTGCACACAGCCGAGATTACTGCACAGGAAAAAATATTTCAAGTGATCATAGTCGTAAAAACTAAGAGATGGACAGCCTTGTTTTAGAAGACGAAGGTTGAAGAGCCTCTTGGGTGTTAAAGTATTCGATATGTTACCAAACATAAAGATATTCTTCCGATGGAATTTGAAATTTAAACATTAATTGACATACCCTTCTTTATTCAGCTTGAACATGTCATTAAAGCATATTTCAAATTCCTTAGCATCACTTGACTGTTCTTCATTAAACGTAACTAGAATTTTAAGTCAATTGACATTCTTTGGATTCTTGGTGTGTCCAACTAGCTAGCCCACTAGCTTTGCATTAATTCTTCGTTGCATCAACTTGGGAGTGGGTGCTAAAATATCCAAATATCTTATGATCGATCAAGATCAAACAGCATCGTTAAATATGGGCTTTATAACACGCGCCAAGGGGTCGCCAGAGGCCAATCGAAAGCCCGCTTGTTGGACTTGTCTAAACATAGCATCTATAAACTAGCATCGCGGCTAGTTAATGGCCGCATATCAGGGAAACTGACACTCCGGCTAATTCTAATTCCAATCAATGTGCGCACATTGTAGTCGCACTGAGTGCTTTTTGATTGCCCGCCCAGCTCAAGGGTGCTCCACTGCCACTGCCGGCCGTTTTATTAGCCGCACTCAAAGAGCTGTAACCCGGGCTGCAAAAAAGCTATGACTCGGCAGTAAGCTAATTGGATGACGTTACAACTTCCGTAACGAGACAAGCTCTCTGCCCTTCGACAGCGCCAATGACCAGAAAGAGGTGGGTCAAGTTGAGCTCTGATTATGACCGTGTGCTGCTCTCTTCAGAACTTTCCCAGCATTTAGGCGTAACAAGTTCACTAGCCATGTGATTCCCACAACCCCTTAATATGTATGATTAAATATGAAAACGCTAATCTAGTTAAAGGCAAGATAAAAATTACAGCAACGATTAAGACACGAGGTTTGTTTTTCAACCTTCATCGATGTGCTTAAATCTAGACTATTAATCTATTAAGTAAGTATTATATTATTATTACTGTATTGAACGATGGGTAGTTACGGAAAAGATTAAACAAAATAGGGAAAATATGAAAATATTTAGAAAAACAAATTGTAATTAGAGTTTAAGATATTTCGAAAATACATTTTACATGTTTCAGTGAGGATTGTATCTTTATCGGGGTTTCGGAAAAATCTCTTCGTACATAGAAACATAATGGATTCCGGTTGAAAATAATTTCTGTGACATTCTCGTATATTTTTGTATCCTGTTTCACCCAGGTCTTTATTAACTGATCTTTAACTACTTTCCATCTATTATTTCTTCTTAGGCCCAGTTCGTGCTGTGCATCTTCCACACCCTCCGCGCCCTCTTCAGCAACCAGTGCCAGTTCTCCAAGTTCATCTCTGCGCTGCTCCTGCTGAATGCCTCCATTTTCTTCTGCCTCTTCATGAACTTCTACATGCAGAGCTACAGGAAGTCCAAGGCCGCGCAGCAGCAACTGCAGCAGCAGCAGCAGCAACAGCAACTGGCTGCCACGCCCTGCAAGGCGGACGACAATAACAACACGGCGATGCTGGCGCAAAAGCTGAAAGCCAACTAAATCGTAAACGACCAAGTAGAAATCAGTCAGATTTAGACGGAAAGTGCTTCCAGGGAACAAATTTTGCATAAACGGATCAGATTGGTGATGGCAACGAACGGACGAAACGGAACGGAAGTAGTTTTGGTACAAAGGTTTCAACTAACGCTAAGCTAAGCTTAAGAGCCATAAATACACACACAGAAAAGGAACAGATACAGAAACGGAATCAGAAACAGAGGAAGTCGGGAAGTCCGCCGGCTGATGATGATGATGGAGAACACGGGGCGTATGCGCAATTTCAATTTCAATTTGATTATCCATCCACCAGCTCCTCCTCCTCCTCGCTAGCTTCGCTTGATTGCTTCGCTTCGCTTCTCGAATTCTCAAATTCTCAAATTCTCGTACTCTCGCCATCTGTGGCTGCAATCGCATATGTATGTGTAGAACCGTACAACAAACTGGGTCAATTTTCGAGATCTGACTAATGTGTAAGACGCCTAATTCTAGAACCTCACGAACGAAGCGCGTTTAGTTTTTAATCCCCTTAGGCTAAGTGATTATCGTAATTCTATAATTGTGTATAGACGATTTGTAAATAGCCTGTTAAATGTTAATGTTAAATATTTGTAGTCCTAAGCCAACTAGTCTAACTTACAACATTCGCACGAACAAATACGGCGAGCACGAAATTAAAAGCGAAGACAAATAAAAACGAAGAAAAGATAAATATAATAAACAAAAAACAAAAAAACCAACCAAGTGGGTTTCTATTTGATCTGCCTTCCCGGCGTCAGGAAAACAGAGCTGTGAAATGGCAGGGTCGTCGTTGCGGAAGAGATCAATAAGTCTTAAGAACTGACAATAGAGTATCAAAATCGGAAATACCGGAATTGATAATGTGGCGATTTTTGTTTCGCTCCTTCGTTCTTGCTAGAAGAACCAAACGAATAGGCAAATATAGCAAAAATGTTTAGTAATTGCTTTCATTTATTTATTTCCATACCATAAGATGATGAAAAAGTTATTTTTTTTAAATATCGTTTGCTATTACTAGACTAAATTAAAAATGTGATTGATTTAATCTCTTCGATCTTTCGAGGAAATAAATTTAAAATTAAAGCCGTTATTTTATTCAATAAGTCGTAGAATGAAATCTTCCAGAGCCTAAGCCCCTTAAAATAGTATTTTATCTAACTTTTTAACGGAGCATTGTATTTTAAAAATGCGTTGTCATTTGAAACGAATTTTAGGTAAAAATACGAATTCATCTCCACCGGATTCAATTTTAGACCAAGCCAATTGATTTTCCTGAAGTCTTGGTACAATTAGTTTTTACAATACCTTTTGATTTTGGTGTATCACTCGTTAAAAACGGAACATCACAGCAGATTCATGCGGCTATTTAAAAGTAGTTCCCTTAGCACACCCTCCCGGTGCGTTTCGTCACTACGTGTACTGCCGTTAAAAGGCCCATACTTAATTGAAGGGATGCTTGAAGTGTCCTTGCCTTGGTCCTAACAGAAAAGGACAGCGACACAAGGATACAAGAAATCATTGTTAGTTTATAGCGCCTTTTGACCTGTAAGCTCACCTTTTTGACCAATATCCTGTGTGCAATCATAAAAAAACAAATGTGCTCCTTGTATAAAGGCGTGAGCACCCCGGCTTTTATGCTTTCAACAAAAAACTTATTCTTGGCTAGACCGGGATCTGGGATATGTGAGTGTGCATGTGCGATATGTCCTTTTTCCAATCATCAAATCCACTTGCAATATCCTTTTTAATCGTAATTTAACTCGCAATTAAACATTTTTGTACGGCAGTTGGCCTAAACAGAATCCAATTAGGAATTAGCGACGGCACAAAAAACCAATAGGTGTGTGTTCGCGCTAGGTCAGCAAAGACACCAACCTGGCTAGAATAAATTTGGTATATTTTGATAAACAAAGATGGTATTAAAAGTATGTTTCTCAGAGCCGGGCGGACATAAATCGATAAATGTCCGATAGGTTTGGACAATGACGCCTCCCGGAAGAAAGAGAAGGATATATGTTAGGTTATATGCTTATCAAACAATAAAAAAGTTAAACTTAGCTTTTTACCGCAAACGACGATCAACAAAAGGCCACCGGACAGGGAATGGAGCAAATGGAAGTGGATGTGGACATGTCGGCCAAGCCGAGCACCTCGTCCTCGGCGCACAAAGCACAGGATGCCACCCCCAACCCGCCGCCGCAGGGAAACATAATGGCTGCGGCGGGCACCAGTGGCTCGGTGACCATTTCGCTGCATCCGCTGGTCATAATGAATATATCGGAGCACTGGACTCGCTTCCGGGCGCAGCACGGTGAGCCGCGCCAGGTGTACGGCGCCCTGATTGGCAAGCAGAAGGGCCGCAACATAGAGATTATGAACTCGTTCGAACTCAAAACCGATGTGATTGGCGACGAGACGGTGATCAACAAGGATTACTACAACAAGAAGGAGCAGCAGTACAAGCAGGTGAGTCAGCCAGGCATCTACATCCTACACTAGCTGATGCTCCTTTTTCCACAGGTTTTCAGCGATCTCGACTTCATAGGCTGGTACACAACGGGCGAGAATCCCACCGCAGACGACATCAAGATCCAGAAACAAATAGCCGCCATTAACGAATGCCCCATCATGCTGCAGCTGAACCCGCTCTCCCGCAGCGTCGACCATCTGCCGCTGAAGCTCTTCGAGTCGCTGATCGACCTGGTGGATGGCGAGGCCACCATGCTGTTCGTGCCCCTCACCTACACACTGGCCACCGAGGAGGCGGAGCGCATCGGCGTGGATCATGTGGCCCGCATGACTTCGAACGAGTCCGGCGAGAAGAGCGTGGTGGCCGAGCATCTGGTGGCCCAGGACAGTGCCATCAAGATGCTCAATACGCGCATCAAGATCGTGCTGCAGTACATCCGCGATGTGGAGGCCGGGAAGCTAAGGGCCAATCAGGAGATCCTCCGCGAGGCCTACGCTTTATGCCACCGACTGCCCGTGATGCAGGTGCCCGCCTTCCAGGAGGAGTTCTACACGCAGTGCAACGATGTGGGGCTGATCAGCTATTTGGGCACGCTGACCAAGGGCTGCAACGACATGCACCAGTTTGTGAACAAGTTCAACATGCTGTACGACCGCCAGGGATCCTCGCGCCGCATGCGAGGGCTCTACTATTGATAACCAACCTATTAAAGCTTCTGAGATAAATATGTATACATGTACGATGGGTGAATGCGGTTTTATTTTGATATATCAGCTGCCGAAGGGCAGGCTACATACGTATACGGGTGGTGGCATCAAGCGATATCACTTTCTTCGCGAGCTTCCAGCTCCTCTAGCTTCGTAAATTCAATTCAGATGCACAGACAACATTTCCTAGACACTTAAATAGGTAATTAGTGGTTGTAGTCGTCCAGCTTCAGGCTGGCGGCGTACTGCTGCAGGAACTCCACCTCCAGGGGATGCATCTCCTTGGCGGGAATGATGAGCGAGTGCAGCGGGCCGCCCAGATCGGTGGAGCGCATGTCGAGCAGCGTTCGCACGGCCAACTGCTGTGACTCCTGGCCGACGCGGGCCAATCCCACGCACAGTGACTGCTCGTTGAGGACAGTGTTCTTTTCAAGCGAATCCTTCTTCTCCACAATCGACAGCAGCTGGTGGGCGGCCTCCGCGACGGTCATGAAGCGCGGTGGCATGTACTCCTTGCGCTTGCGCATCAGCGACTCCGGCGTGGGCTCCTTCACCTTGATGTCCAGCAGGCACAGCGTGTGCATGTTGTGCAGGCGATTCAGCTTGATCTTGTCGTAGAAGCTGTCCGGCTTCCAGGTTTCGTCCCAGTAGGGAATCGAGACGGTCTCGCCGAATTTGTACAGCTGCAGGCCGCAGCAGCCCACGGCGTTCATGATGGAGGCATTGTGGATGACCTTGTAGGGTATGTTCTTCTCCTTGGCGCGCAGTATGAAGTCTGTGTGGGTGGTGGCGCCGAAGGGGTCGCCCACGACGAGCAGGGCCACGTCGGAGTCGCCCGCACCGGCCAGGATCTCATCGGCGCCCTGCTCCACCAGATCGCGGTCGGCCAGCAGCAGGGGTCGTCCGTAGAACTCTTGCTAAGGGTAGAAAAAAAGGGGTAAGAGAGGGTGCTACCCCTTGCCAATTTAATTCCCATGTAGATACCTACCATATCCTCAAGGCTGCAGCCCAGAATCGAGGTGTACATCTCCAGGTAAACACGACTGCACTGCTTCACTATCTCCAGACCCTTGACCGTGATGTCCTTCAGGTCGCCGAGGCCGAGGCCGATTAGGTAGAACATGCTGGGCGACTGGTGCGACTGCTCGGCCACTGCAACTCCTGCCAAATGTTGTTAAAAGCGCCTTTTAAATGCAGTCAACAAAAAAAAAACACGTGGGGCGTTGTGTGACCCTCGCCAGAGCGCCAAAAAATCTATCCTTTGCGGAAATGCACTAGAAAATACCACTCAAGCGTTTACACTTGTTTGTGTAATTTAAGGGGGATTCCCTAAACTGTTGAATTGCTGAATTGTTGAAAATTCAACAAAAAATTTCAGCACTTAAGGGAACGACCCAAAATGACTCCTGTTGAATTTTCAAACAGCTGTTATTTGTTGAAAAATTTCACGGAATTTAAAGCATGTAAAATTTGATTTATTATTGCTAGTTACTGTCTAAAAGTGTTACCAAGGTAAAAAGAACCACAAATATGCTCTCTAAGTTGATTTTAAAATAAATAATGCGTACTGGTGATACTAAAATGTTACAGAGTTGCCACGACTTTTTAAAAAAGGTGACAACTCTGGCTTTTCAGCAATTCAACAAAATTTTCAGCAGCCCCGAGGCTGATGAATTGCTGAAATTTCTGAAAGTTGACTTTGTATGGAACAGCTGATTAACAGCTGACCAAAATTCAACAATTCAGCAATTCAACAGTTTAGGGAATCCCCCTTTAAGGGAAATGAAGTGGGTTTATTTGTTTTAAAATTAGTAATATTACATTATGGAAAGGGATTAGTTTGTTAATTAGGCCTGCATTAATTAAAAATGCTTATCTATTACCCGTGCTGCCAGACTTTTTAAAACGCCTCAGTCCCTAGTATGACCGTTCGCTAATGTAGAAAGGGCGGGCGTTTCAAAATTCAAGGTCAACACTAGCCAATTTCATAGAAGTACGAAATTAATCTACTTTATTAAAAAGAAACAAGCTTAAGTTCACTACTTAACAGATTAAAATTTGGTCTTCCTTTTTGATCTCAGCTGTATGCTAAATATGTGCACTTCACATAATGCTCTTCGTATAAGTCTAGGTTCATTAACAGGTATAGGAATCTTTGTCAATATCACACTTAATCCCACATATTTTGAGACTCTGAATTCGTGAGCTCGGAAATCTTGTAGTTGCAAAGTTGAGGTCTGTGGGGAAAAGAAACTTTTCAAATAAAATGAATCGTTTTAAGTGCATTACTAAAACTTACGTGGTTGTGGCTCCGCGAACCACACAGTAAGCGATGAAGCGCTCAATCTGGAAACAAAAAAAATATCACAACCATTTCCTTGAGATTAAGTAATAACTTACCATCATTTCGAAGGATCCAAAGGCAGCAGTGTGATCGAAAGCCTTGCGCACTTGAAGGAAGTACTTGTGTATCTCCGCACCCAGGTTATCCTTCCAGTCTAGACACTCTTCGCGTACCCGGCGGCAATTGATGATCAGGCTGAAGGTTCTAACCAGCATAAACATGTCCGCTTGGCGGCCACTGTCCGCCAGCTGCTGCCAGTTGATCAATTTGGCCATTTCGAAAGCCTTGTGGGCCTGGAAAACGATATAGTTTAGGGTGTTTAATTAAAAACTCGGCTTTGCAGGCTTACACTTTCTTTGTTATCCAATTGAACTGGTACTCCCGTGTACTGCCCCATAATGGTGAGCAGCAGGGCCACAGCAATATTGTTGCCCAGTCTGCAGGAAGCCACCAAGGAGGGAATGGCGGCCTGCATGTCCAGGACACTTTCCAGGCGCTCTAATCCCACGCCTCTTATTAAGTTGTCGTACAAACCAGTGGCCATGTAGTTCAGCTGAGGAGTTTTAAGGTGAATATATAATATAGCCTGGGTTCTGTATAGATAGTACTACCTCTTCTGAATTCAGGGAATCCGCCAGATGACTGACCGCATCCACCAGCATAAAACGCTCCTTCGTCAGCAATAAGTTGTCTCTTTGGTACGTCACCATCATAATGGACAGGGTAAACAGATCCAGGAGATTCTCCAGACGCAGCTCGAGCTTCCCGGATAAGGTGGCCACAAAACGATCTAGCAACTAAGATAGGAGCTACATTTTAGTAAGAGTAAACCAGTTAAAAGGAAGTATTAACCTGCTTGGCGTCTGAGGTGTCATTTGCGAACGGAAACAAATCCTTGATGGACGACTTCCCCAGGAAGGTCTTGATGTTCTCGTGGTTATAGCCGAGGCGTATTTCGTCCTCCTCCACGAAGGAGTTATTAAACGAAGCCGCAGACACATTCATTTCACATTTATTGGCGGCAAAAATAAATGCGCAAAGCAAAAGACACTAACGCCTGGAAAAACGCACTAACGCCAGTGTCAGCTTCTTCTTATCGTTTTAGCTCCACGTGCGGCGTATTTTGTACTGTTACTTATTTTATTCCGATTTTACTCAATTTACTCGTCTTAAAATGCCGCCCGTCAAGAAACCCAAGGCGGTGAAGATCGAGAAGCAGGCCACGCCCAAGAAGACCATAGATAAGAGCAAGGATGTGGTCTCCGGACAGGTGAGAAGAAAACAACGGCTCCTCCTGCGTTCCAACTGTAAATTTCCTCCATTTTAGCTGAAGAAAAAGGTGGCCAAGGCCAAGCCGCAGAAGGAAAAGGGACCGGAACGCGGCGTGATCATTGTGAAGCACCTGCCCCACGGATTCTTCGAGCAGCAGCTGCGCCAGTACTTCCGCCAGTTCGGCCGGGTGCTCCGCATCCGCTTGGCCCGCTCCCTGCGCACAGGAAACAGCAAGGGCTACGCCTTCGTGGAGTTCGAGTACCCGGAGGTGGCCAAGGTGGCCGCCGACACCATGGACAACTACCTGATGTTCCAGAAGGTGGTAAAGGCCTCCTACATTCCGCCAGAGAAGCAGACATTTAACTTCTTTAGAACCTCTTTAAAGAAGGTGGTTAATAAGGTGGGTCCCCTGAGTTGTAACTATCTTTACCTTTCTAATCCAAATACCTCCTGTTTCTAGGCCGGCAAGGAAATCTACGTCTCGGATGTAACCAAAGCCACCCAGCGCAGCGTTAAGAAGCAAAACACCTGGGATGAGTCCGCCTGCCAGCAGCGCACAGTGGCCAATCTCAAGAAGATCAAGAAGCTGCAGGAGAAGTACAAGGACCTGGGCATTGATTTCTCCAACCTGCTGGTGGAGCCAGTAGCAAAGACCAAGAAGACTGCAGAGGCAACTGAAACTGCCGAGGCTTCGACCAGCAAGGCAGCTGCTAAGTCAGCCGCCAAGAAACAGAAACAGACTGCCAAGAAGCAGCCAACGCTGGAGGATCTGCTGGGCACGACCATTAATGAGGATTCCGACGATGAGGACTACGTAGATGCTTCCGATGATGAGTCTGAGGAGGAACTTAAGGAAGAGGAGGAGGAGCAATCCAGCGAGGATAGCGATGAAGAGGAGGAGGACCTGCCGCCACCGCCCAAGAAGAAGAACAAGGCCAGCCTCTCAGATAAACTGAAGCGCAAGCCTGGAACTGGCGGTGTGCAGAAGAAGAAGCTGGCTCCGGCCGCCAAGGCACCGAAGAATGCCGCCACCCAGAAGCTGCAGCTGGCCGCAGCCAAGTCGCTGGCAAAACCGCTGCCCAAGGGAAAGGCCAAAAAGTCCAAGAAGTAGCTTAGAATACCTTTTACTGTAGTTGTTAAGTAAGCGAAAACATTTTGTAAGATGAATTGTGTTAAAATATGTCTTTGTACAAACTAAAAGTGTGATTTTTGGCCCTCCTGCTCCTCCAGCTTGATGCGCTTGCACTTCATGCGACGATTTTGGAACCACACCTTCACCTGGCGCTCCGTCAACTCCAGGGCCACTGCGATCTCGTAGCGACGCAGGCGGGTCAGGTAGTTGGAGTAGAGGAACTCGGTTTCCAGTTCTTTCAGCTGCGTCTTTGAAAAGGCTGTGCGTTCCTTGCGATTCGAGGATGTGCTGCGAAGTTTGGGCGCTTGACTGGGAGCCTCCTGGTTAGTAGTTTCCTCATTTTGCAGCCAAAATTGAGCCTCCATTTTACTGCAATCCACGTAGGCAGAAGTCGCACCATAATTGCAGTATCCCTCTGTTTGATTGAGCCACGATTTTGTGATATCCTCATAGTAGCAGGACTCGTAATCGTGGCAGTTCTTCATTCTGCAGCTTCTTTTCGCTTCTAGGGCTAAACTAATACTGAAAACTCGGACTCTACAGAGACCGCTTATTAAGGAGAACGCAGAGTGTGCCAGCGAAATCTGCTATTTCACTTAGTCGCAAACGATGTGCTGCTGATATGATAATTGTGCGCAACATCTGGACCCCGAGTATGAGTGGTTATGACACCCGCAGATCGGCTTGTTGTCTTTGCCTACAAACTGTTGTCACAACAAACCCGAATCTGAATCTGATTCCGATCCCCCGTCGTCCGGCCAGAAACGGAAGTGGATGGATGCATGAGTCAAGTGCCTTTGTGCCACCAACTGCGGAGCTATAAAATTTGAATAGGCAACCGTCGGCTGGTCGTAAAATCGAGTCGGAGATTTATCTGAAAGGCGCAATTGCACGCGCCTTTAAGCTGATGCGGCGGATTAATCGCCGCTACTAAGCGTAGATCCCCGCTTTTCGCTGACAAAGTGGAGTTTGATGTGATAATAGATGTGCGATTCAGTGCGTGGCCCAGAAATGGTAAAGAAAATGTTAATTAGAGTAGGTCTTTAAGATAATTTAGATGTGAGAGAAATTAATTAAGTTAGAAAAAAAACCAAGAAACGTATTCGTTTTAAGTAAGTACTACACAACTATTTTTTGATTTTTAGAATCGTATTCTAAATTTGCATAGATCTCTCAGATATTTTAAATATTCATTAAATACAAAATTTCAAAATATACATAATTATTATTTTTATAAATTTGAAAGAGAACATATTTCCCTTCGCTTAAGAATTAGGTAAATAAATCATAGGGATTGGTTGGTTCTATATTCAGATCCTTTTAAATTTATCGCCCCCAAGGAATTTAATTCAAATCAGTTCAACTTTTGCGCCAAAAAAACTCAATGGTTCCGATCCTGGGTAAGAAAAGATTTTCTACCATTGGGTAGATGGTCTCACTAAAATCGACTTTATCTGCGACCGATGATAACTGATAAAAATATCACGATAAAAATATTTATTTTTTCGCAAAATATCGATATATTGGTATTTTGATATATTGTCGACATGACATCCCTAAGTTAATTTACAATTTACAGTACAATGCGATAGCTGGCATCCACTTTCGGCCCCAAAATGTGCGGTTAAAATCCCCCCGCGAACCGCAAAGCGGCGGAGAAACGTCGGACAAAGCGACAGAGAGAAGCGAAGCGAGAAGAAGCAGGGAGCGCTAAACAAGTTTGCGTGGAACGGAACGAAAAATTGCGTGAAAAGAAGAAAGCCACAACGAGCAGCAGATGCAATAATGTTTGTAATGTTTAAACAAATTCGCCGAGGAGCTGCGGGTTTTTTTTGAGTCGTCGTCGTCATCCGTGCGTGCGTGCGTGTGTGTGAGTGTGTGCATGTGTGTAGTTGTGGAGGAGTGGAAATAATGAGAGTGTCTCAGTCCGAGTGCAAATGAAGTTGGCCAAGCCCAAAACGAGAATTAATTAAAGCAACTAAGAAAAGTGCCCGTGTCGCGGTGGAGGATTAACTACGCCCCGGGGTCAAAGAAAAGAAGAAGCAGAAAAACAAAGGAAAGGAAACCGATCGTCGGCAGCAGGACGAGGAGAAGAAGCAGAGGCCAGTCCAAAATGAGCGAGGAACTGAAAGTGGTGCTGCGCCGCAGCGAGCAGCATTCCGGTTTCGGGTTTTCGCTGCTCGGAACGACCGGACCGCCACATGTCATCTACGACATCGTCGAGAATTCGCCGGCAGCCGATTGCGGAGCGGTAAGTGAAACATACACATACATACTGTGTGTCCTTTGTGTGTTTGTCATTCCATTCCCGTCTGGGACAAACACCCACCCACCCACTCACCCACCGGTGACCCCCGCCCATCTATGACTTCATCAACCACCGGGCAATGAAAACAGCAAACAGCAACAGCTCCCTGTTGGCCTCACTTTTGGCACTGTCACATTTTCGTCTACAGTAGAGCCTCCCCAAAGAAGACAGCGGAAAGGCCTTGAGACTTTCTAGGAATTGTGTATAACCCTGCTGTTTTATTTTCAATTAAATCTGGAGTGTTCAAAATAGCAGTAGGGAGTGTTATCATAACGAAGGATTTTTGTTTAAATATGGATAACACTAAAAACAACTCTCAAGATTACATAAAATCCTACTAGTTTTGAAATTACAATTTCCCTAGAAATATAAGTTTCTAGCTTAGATTCTCCTTATTTTCTGTAAATACAGGCGTGTTCAAAATAATAGTAGTGCGGGTGAAGGATTTTTGTTTAAATGTGAATATCATTAAAAACAACTCTTAAGATAACTTAAACATAAATCTTACTGGTTTTTAACTTACAATCTTGGTTGTTTCTAGATACAAGTTTCTAGTTTATATTCTCCCTATTTTCTCTTGATACAGGCGTGTTCAAAATAATGTTTAAATACTAATATTATCAAATGCAACTCTTAATAAAATAACTCTTAAATAAAATAAAATTCTCCTAATTTTAAACTTACAATTTCCCTAGAAACAAAACAAGTTTCTAATTAAGATTCCCCTGGACGCATTTTTCTTGGAATCGTTTTTTTTTGCATATTTTTTATTACTGCTCTAGTGAAATAGTTAAATGCCAAGAAATTATATTTGTTTTTTCCCTGTTCTGACCTTTTCACCCAAAACAGATCTTATAACTCGAAAAATTCTAATACATTTTGATTCAAAAATTCTAAAATATTTGAATCGTCAAAGTCTAAGCTTCCCAACGGGCGATACAATTATTCATAGCGTTTTATCTAACTGAAAGTGCATACGTACATAGATAAGAGTAGTTTTTGTGTGTCAGATGGTTGTTTGAGTTTCAGAAGTTGGCCCGTATGCAAAGCGACCCGCCCCTCGTCTCTGGATAAGAATATTTTCCACTTTTCCACTTTTTTTTATGGTGATGACCATGGCTGTCTGGCGTATGTGAAAGCATTTCAATTTGCACAGCGGCAAAAAATAAGCGAAACGAGAGTCCTCCGTTGGCGTGTCATCATTGTTTGCCGCCCGTGATGTCATCGTTGCTTTAATTGACGGGAGGGGGGTGTCTGTGGGCAGGGGGGGGCAGCACACAAAAGACACTGTATCAATTTTCTGGCTTGTTTTGCTTTTATTTACTATTTACTGTCATCGCATCTCGAATGTTTAGAGCCGAGTGCAAAAGAAAACAAAAGCAAGTAAATACAGGGAACAAAGTAAGGCAAATATTTTTAAATGAAATGCCAATATGTTGTCTATTCAATTGTTTTTGCCCGTGTAGAGATCAATTTATTGTCAATTTAATGGAATTACCGACCTAATGATGGCGGGAATTCTTGTGATATAACAACTTTTTCTCCCACAAGTCAAATAACAAAAGTTATGGTTAAGATTCTAATGAAATATCCTTATCCGCACTAGATAGGTCATCATTTTATCTTATCTCAATAAATTTCAGTAAACATTTCATGAAAAATAGTACTATTTCGTAGCCTATTAGCAACTCGGATTTCTTGGAATAAAATACTTGGCTGAATGCACCCAGCGGATATTGGATAAGAATGGACTTGGAATTTACGTGGGGCCCATTTCAATTATTATCAATTTCCCCGTGCAACTCTAATTCGAAAGAAGTGCAACGCAAAGTTAACGAATCGACAAAATGCAAATGCAGCGCTATAAAAAGCCATGCAAAGACAACATTTTAAAAATAAACTTACTCATACTCAGATACACAGGCAAACAGACAGACTCAGACTTACTTTGTAATTATCGGACGTGGCAACAATAAACGATTTACACGAAAAACCAAACAGAATTCTCCGGCTTTGGTTTTTTTTTTAAATTTATGCACCCGATCACCAAAAACTTGGTCTCGAACAAACAAAAAAAAAAAACAATAAACGAAATGCGTGAAAGCAGAGTGCAAAAAACGCGTTGGGAATTTTAAATTGTGGAAATTATTAAGTAATTCCACACAAGCCAGGTATGACGAAAAGCAACACAAATGCACCGGGGTAATTGTCTTCAGGCAACGAACTGACATGGACACACAGATATAGCTATATATTGTATATATAGATGCAGCGGCACGCACTTTTTCAATTTCTTATCGCTTTCGCTTACAACTTGTTGTTATTTTTGTTGCCCGGCTTGTTTTGTGGTTGTTTGACTTGTCTTCTATCTATCTATCTGTCGCGCACTCCTTATAAAGTGGGTGTGAAAGTGTCGCTTGGCACTTTGCGTATCCAAAAAAGATTATAATAACACACTCCTTAGATTGGTTCGGAAATTACTATGCTCAGTTGCTAAGCAGTTCTTAATTATAATAATTATTGCCTTGTTTTTTCCTAGTTGTAATCATTTTCATGACAATCCCCAGTGGGTTCAGTTGGTTATAGGAAATATATTGGTTTTTATTTTGTTAAAAAAAGGAAGGTTTATAGAAATAAATTTCCATTATTTCGACTCATAAATACATTTCAAAATAATACAAAATACACTTAGTTTTAAAGTATAAAGTGTATAATCTTTAATACTATGTTGCACTAAAAACCCTCCCTCTTAACTTGAAGACCTTAATGAGTAACAAACACGTCGGCCCCTCGAGTGCAATTAATTTTACTTTTTATATGCCGTCATTCTGGTTGCGGTACAATTTTATTTTTCAATGAATGCACAAACATACACACACTCTCAACTGGGTGTGTACCAATTGTATGTACATGTGTTTGTCCACGCTGTCGTCGGTTCCCAGTCGGAAGTGGAACGCATCCAGAAGGGATGATGGATAGCATCCAAAGCACCGATGCATGCATGCCCGATCGATGAACTTCTCGCTTCCTTTTTACAGCAAAGCGGGACAAAATGGGTGCTATCCGATGAAGCGCTCCTGGAGCGCTCCTGGAGCGCTCCCTTTTCATGCATCGGCCATGGGTTTCAACTTCGGGAAACGTTCGGGATTGGTTTCCATTTTTCCCTTCCAAAAGATGCGATCCAGAACGCATCTTTTGGAATGCTTTTGGATGCGTTCCAAAAGATGCGTTCTGGATCGCATCTTTGATGTGCTTCTGGATGCATTCCAAAAGATGCGTTCTGGATCGCATCTTTTGGAGTGCTTTAAAATGCGGCTTTCACGAGTGAAAAAAATTGGTCTACTTGATTTTTTTAAATTTCACATTTCTTTATTTAATTTTATTTTGTAATTTAAATTAATTAATAAAAAAAATGAATACAATTACACTGCTACTGCTTTCCCATCATCCTCAGTATCGTCTTCCATCTCGTTGTCCTTGTCCGGTCCTTTGTCTGCACTGGTCGTCGCCTTTCTGCGTGTAGACTCCTTATACACCCGGTTTTTTTGCCGAGTAAAGGCTGTTCGCAGGTCTTTAACAAAGTCCTCCTGCCTATACCCTTCCCTCTTCTGGGATTCTGCAAAATATAGTGTTTTAAAATTTTGTTAGACGAAATTGCCAAATTAACATCAACAATTTTTAACACTTACCGTACAGAGCTTCGTTCAACGCAGCAAATGTGGAGAACCCTTCCTTTTGCCTACAATTGAAACAAAAACGGCACTTTTGTTACACAAAAACTAAAATTAAATTTAATACTTACAGTTGTTGATGCTGTTGTTCTTCCGTTGCACACTGGGCCAGAAAGTTAATTTTTTGGCCAAAAATCTGTAATTTCTTTCCTAGGACAGTTAGAAGGATGCAGTTTTTTGCGTTTTTTTCTTAAAAGATTGAACTTTTCAACGAACTAAAAGTAAAATTTCTTGGAATTTTATATGTTTTTTAAATTTTATTTTCCAAAGTCGGAAAATTTTGCGTACTTTTCGGTTTTTTATTTTTAAAAAAATAACTAGAAGACGCACTTCTTCCATTTTCGAAAACAATAAAGTATGAGATAAAACAAACTAAAAAAAATTAACATCACTAAAAAATATTATGTCGTTAAAGATTTATGAACCGTTTAAAACTGCAACTTTCGGAGACTCCCACATCAACGTTTATCAAACAATCGATTTAAAAAAATTTTCTATTTTTTTTTCTTGTTATTTCTTAAGTTTTATATAATCAAATTATTAAAAAAAATGGTTTTAAAAAAATTGTTTTTTAAATTGTTTAATGTTAATTTGACATATTTTGAAGTCATCACAAAAGTATGCTACATTTTTATTTGCATAGTCCTGATTAAATAGATAGATATAGATTTCGAAAATACCATAATCGATTAGTGTACGTAAAAAGTAGATTTTAGATGTTAGTCACACTAAAATCAATTTTTTTCGCGCAAAATGTTCACTAAAACCTAAAGAAAAAAAGTACGGCATACTTTTGGGCTCTCTTAGCTAAGCTCTTCAAAATAGCTTGACTTCGAGTTAAGCCTTCAATTAAAACTTAAATTACCGAAAACTAACGCAAAACCGCATCGAGTCGGTGGGCTACGCTTTTAGTAAATTGATCAACGAATTTTTTTTTGAAGAAATAAACTAATTTGTGGATGGCACTCAAAGGCACTTGAAAAGCAAAGTACTCATTTGCTAAAAAAAAACCGTAAGAATCAACAAATACATTTGTTTTAGGAAACAAGTAAGACATACGACCCATATTATATTTTTTATTGGTTGAAAGTAATCACATCTACAAGTTTTGTGAAGAGTCGAACAGCTACATCAGCGTCTTTAACTTCAAGATTTTTTTTCATTTCCATCAATATTTGATGAATTTTCCACTTTGAAAATATGGTAAAAGAA